GAGAGAGAGAGAGAGAGAGAGAGAGAGAGAGAGAGAGAGAACATGCATGCAATGCAACGTATGTGTGTAGGAGTCAGTTCTCTCCCTCCACAGTGAGTTCTGGGGCTAAAATTGAGGTTATCAAGGTTGTGTGGCAGGCTTTTAGTCATTAAGCTGTCTCAAAACCCACATCTAACTATTAATACATACAAAGGAAATATCCAGGACTTGGCCTTAGTGAAATAATATTAGGAGCTATACTATTCAGGATTTGACCAGGACATCTGGGTGTTTAAAACAAGGGGTTTCTAGGCTACAACTAGTTACAAAAATGATGGAATTTATCTTACATATAACTGTAGGAACTAGTCCTCCAGATCGCAAGACACAGTCCCAGAGAACGTCTACTCCAGCATGGTGTTCCTTAGAGCAGCAGAGGCACAGGAGGACTGTCTGGAGATAGAAAACCAACACATGATTATATTTGTAAATGAGATATGGCTCACTCCTAGAAAGGAATGAAATGTGTCTGTATGAGGTGTACTGAACTGATCTTCAAGCTATGTTAAGAAAGTGGAAGTAACAGTTCACACTTGTAACCCCTATGGAAAGAAGAAGCCATGCATTTATGCATTGAAAATATATGTGCCTGCATGCACAAAGGGAAAACATAGAATAAAACCCAGGAAGCCCAGTGTTTGATTCTGGGGACAGAGGGTAATGGCAAGGGTCAGGTGCTAAGCAGATGATTCAATGTGTGTCAAATCTCCTTTTTATATTGAAATTCTTTATCATGTGTGCATACATATACATGTATGGTGTCTCCCTTTGGTAGCGTCTCGCTTTCCTCTACCCAGCACATATGTCTGCATCTTTTTCAGCAACAAAAGCAAAATTAGTTTTAAAGGTGAGGGGAAAAATAAAGGTTTTTGTAATCTCAAATTATGTGTGACTATTTCAGTTAGTGTAATGGTGTAATTACATTTGTCATCTTTTCCTTGTGCTTTCATGCACTTGATATTTAGCAGCCGGACATTGGTGGCATACGCCTTTAATCCTAGCACCTGGGAGGCAGATGCAGGCGGATCTCTGTGAGTTCAAGCCCAGCCTGATCTACAGAGTTCCAGGACAGCCAGGGCTACACAGAGAAACACTGTTTCTGGGGGTGGGGGAAAGAAAATAAGCACTATGAAAACATCCTAAGAAGGAATAAGATGAGATTAGCTCTGCCTGATGTAACAATGTCTGAAAAACTCGAGGAAATGTAATTTTTCTGTCATTCATACACACGCATCATTCAAAATACATGCCCATAAGTAAATATTATTATAAAGAAAGGCAAGGAAACAGCAAAAGGAATTCAAATCAGAATTAAGAAAAAAAAACTCAAGTTTTTCAGATGAGACAAAGTTTTACTTTTGGTAGCCATAAGGCTAATATGTTGTCTAAGATGTCATTGTGACAGCAGCTTCTAATGTTTCCATCATCAAAAGAACTTGATGAAGTCACCAGGAAGAGAAGACTCCGTAACACAGTACCTGACTTGGGATTTTGTTTTTTCCTACCATTCCTCTTTACATAACCAAAGGTAAAGTCACTCTTAGGAAAGGAATGTATAAAATTTTCAATTATCATGGTAAAAATCATATCTGGTCATCATTCCTAAATGTTGGCTTAAAAAACTATATTATACAGAACAATAAGTGATATATTCAGTATATTCCTGAATTCTGAGAATTCATAGATAGGAAATCATATGGCTAAGGAGCCATAGTCTTCCTTCACCCAAACTTTGTTCCAATTGATCTTGAGCTGAAATAGTGAACATTTCACATTGTCGTTGGGACATGGAGTTGTGCCCTGTATAGTATTACCTGAAAAAAGAACTTTCCAATAGAAATGTGTCATATTTGTCACCTTAAATACTTGAGCGAATACATTATAAAGAGGAAAAAGAAACAGATGAAATGTTTGTCAAATATTTTCTCTAACCCATGTTTCCAAAATTTCATTTCAACTTTGATTAATACTAAAAAAATAAAATATCCTAAATCCCTGCCCCCCAGGGTCTCTCTATATAGCTCTGGCTGTCCTGGAGCACACTATGCAGACCAACCAACTAAGGTTGAGACCTTGAGACTCTAAGGTCTCAAGCTTAGAGATCTTCCGGTCCCTGCATCCCAAATGCTCAGATTAAAGGTGTGTGCCACTATGCCCTGCACAGTCTTTTTCATATTCTGTTTTAAAACTCCACTTTTTAGACCATGAGTGGGTCACACACTCACTACTCATGTGGCTGGTGACTGCTGCATTAGGTACACACCTAAAACTTTATGATCATTAAGTAAATGTTCAAAAAAAAAAAAAAGTCTGTGTTCCTCCGGCACCCAGAGGCAAGACCTACTTTTGAATGATGTCTGCCAAAACCCAGTTTGTGTGCAGATATCTAAGACTGCTGGTGTACACTCAATGCTTTAGTTGGGGCTTAATGCTTTTATTTAGATGTTCACTGTAACAATTGTCTTTACTCCAACAGTCCGAGCCCTGCTGCCACGTGGGCTTTCTGCCAAACCGCCTGAGTTTCGCCTGCTGCCACATTAAGGTCCCAAGTAACACACAGAGACTTACATTAGGTACACATGCTGCTTGGCCAATGACTAGGATTTCTCATATGCTAGCTCAGTCTTAATTATCAACCATAAAGACTTATCTTATCGGACACCAGCTGCAGGTGTCTTCTCTTGCCGGGATCATATGGCAACTCCAGAACAGAGAGCAGGAGAGAGGAGCAAGAGAAAAGGGACAACTTCCTGTTTGTCCCTGCTTATATATGATTCTGCTTGCTATGTCACTTCCTGCCTGTATCACAACACTTCTTTACTACATTTCCCAGAATCCTCCTTGATTCCTAGTCCTGGCTAACTTGCTTCTTCATTGGCCAACAGTACTTTATCAACCAATAAGACAAACATATACACAGAAGTACCTCTCCCACCAGTTCACTGTAAGGATATGCCTGTGAGTCTCATATATCTATGAGACAGTGTATGTATTTTGAGGTGATTAGTCCTGAGGTCTTTGAGCCTGTTTTTGGCTTTACTATCTTTGTGATATACTTTGTTCAATAGTAGAGTGTCCTGAGGTCTTTGAGCCTGTTTTTGGCTTTACTATCTTTGTGATATACACTGTTCAACAGTAGAGCAATCTGGAATCAGACATTGAAGGTGGTGGCCAAATTTCTACAGATTCATTTGTTGTTGGAAGACACTAAAGAAAGTTGTTGTTGGTTTTTATTTTTAAACCTTTAATGGAATCTCTTTTTCTTCTCTTTTTTGTTTTTGTTTTTTTATTTTTAGGAGGGAATGAATTTTAAAAGAGAAATGCTGCTACTAATCTTGCTTGCTTTATTGCTGGCATTATCTAAGTACCACCACAGGTAAATAAGAACCCTGCTGCATCTTAGTCATTAATGATGGGTATAGCTGATCTAAAATGCTGTGCTTTTGCTCAGACATTCAAGCACTCTCCAATTTAACTTTAGGAGAAATCAGTTTTACTTTGGTGAACATATACGTTAATTCTTTCATTTTTTTCCAACTTTGAAGATTATTGATCAACAACAGACCATGGTGGCGCACACCTTTAATCCCAGCACTTGGGAGGCAGAGGCGGATGAATGTCTGTGAGTTCAGGGCCAGCCTGGTCTATAGGGTGAGTTCCAGGACAACTAGGGCTACACAGAGAAACCCTGTCTCAAAACACCAAAAAAACCCCAAACCAAACAAACAAAACCAAAGCCCCACATTCTCTGCTAACTTTACTTTAGCTTGAAATTCAGTTCAGTCTCTGCATTTCTCTACTGAGTCTGCCTCCTCGGCGTGTTACATAGAAACACCTTTTACAATGGCTGCTAGCTTACTTTTTTAAGAAAACAAGTAACTTCTGGTCATGGTGGAA